ATGTCCCATTCCCAAATACGAGGTTCATGTTTCTATGCTTTTTCTATAAAGAGCATTTTTTTAAATCCATGACCTACGATTACTTAAAGGTACCATACCTAGAACATTTCTCTAAAGACACGTGGGCCATTACAATGGTTTAAAAAGAATGAAACATAACCAAAACAACATGACAGTGATTTAGTATATCTATTTGAAATGGTCGTATCTTGCATTGAATATTTCTACACTATTTCCTTTCCTCTTTCCCACCCCCTCACTGTTTTTCGCTTCCATGAAAATGCCAAGTCTTATTGGGACACGGACCCATAGTCTCTCATACCCTTTTTGATTGTGTCATTCAGCCTGTGTTTGCAGGTACAGGTGCTGTGATTTCAGCGGATGTTGCTACTGGACAAGCCAGATTGCAGAATGGCTCCAAAGATCATGTTTTGTTTTCTAACTTAATACAATGACATATAAGCACTCGAGGCTACAGACTTTGGATTTAACAATGAACAGAAGTCTATTACTCAAGAGAAACAGAAGTAAATCAAAACAAACCAAGCTATATACCCATCACACTGTTTTGAAAGACGTGGTAAAACAAAATCCCATCCACTCCTGAACTTTACAACTCATCAAAGATCCAGAGAAATTCCTCCTCTGTCAAACCTGCAGGTTTGACTTAACTGCATTTTCTCAATTCTAGTCCTGTCAACTGTGAAGATTTCATCTTGAATGCTCACCGAACTGAGATCTTAAGCTTTCTTAGCTTTGAACACCCAACACACCAAACATTTGTGGTTTGGGAATTTCATAAACTAAACTATTTTTTTACTGAGGTAACATCCCTTGATCACTTTGAACAGTCTCTTTTTACAGGAAGAAACTATACTTGTGCCTGACCTCTATTGTTGCAACACAAGAGACAGACAGTTAAACCAAATGGGCTCTTCTACCTCTATATTCACAACACAGAAAATGAAACCATCAAAAAACCCCAAATAGCCACTCCAGTGGTTCTTAACTGGACCTTTGAATAACTAATCCCAGACTTGAAAAATAACCCTGAAGAAGGGTAATACCTGAAACATTGACTGCTCCTTTCCCCCAGATGCTGCCTGGCCTGCTGTGTTCTTCCAGCCTCCTCTTTGTCTACCTTGGATTCCAGCATCTGCAGGTTTTTTGTCTCTTCACAAATAATTAACTTCTAGAGACTGGTTTTGTATCTTAAACAAAAGACGTAACTATTTGGTAAATACACAAGAATGTCAGCAGTGAGAAAACTAAAAACACGGTAGTCTAATTCATGTCTCTGTTTTAAACCCAAAACATTTGTTCTCGGCCCCCATGCGCACAAAAGCCAGACAGACAACCAAATACAGTTAAGGGATAAATAAAAGAAAATAACAAAATTAGCCAGATTACTTAAATGACTTTGACGATGCATTGTCTCATGTGTATAAATGTGGACTCCTTGGATGCTTTTCTGAAAAGTTGATCACTGTCACCTTCTCAGTTCACTGAGGCATAGGCAGCAATACTTCTAACTCCGCTTTCTACTTCTTCAGCTTCAATAAATTGGTATAGCAGATTAGGCAGGGTGCTTTCAAATCTTCATGCTGTCTCAGCAACAACCCAGAACCATCTCTCAGAAAGAGAGTTTAATTTTGGTTCTGCCCTGATAGACTGATCGACTTTAAATGAGAGCTAACTTTTCATTCAACAAATACCATGTGTTTGGACACAGGTTCTCTTTTGGACTTGCTGGAACCAATTCTCTGATATTGACCTCATTAATAGTCAACTGTTGCTAATTGTTCAAATGCAATGCTCTTCCTGGGGCCACTGTATCTGTTAGAACCATTTTCAGCAAGGCTCACCCTGAAATTAACCTACACGCCTGGCCTGTCACGACCAAAGCTTATAAACTGACGTTTTCCCAGCCACCATCAGTTCTGAGGAAGGATCACCGGACCCGAAACGTTAACTCTGTTTTCTCCTCCACAGATGCTGCCAGACCTGCTGAGCTTTTCCAGCAACTTTGTTTTTGTTGCACTAACAAAGCTTGTTTGTTCTGTTCTTTTCTGTTTGCCACAAGCTGTTCCAAGCTTCACATTGTCATCTCCAGCTCTCAATCAAAACTGAAAAATAATAAAAATAAAAATAATGAAAAAGCAGCAAGGGTTCTAATACTGTGATCTCCTTTGAACTGCCCGAAAGCTTTTGAACTAAATTTTAAAAATACTTGCTGATCCTAGCTTCGGCTAAACTAGTGGTTAGATGTCTTTTTCTTTTCTCTAGTCTTAAACCCCGCGATGGAAACAAACTTATAGTAACAGTCCATAAGCTTGCAGATCTGCTTTTTAACACACACTGGTTTTAAATTAAGGTTCCAGAATGACTGACCTAGTTAAGTTTTAGACCTTATCACAAACATAAGACCAACACCCATATGCCACTAGTTTGAAATTGAAACCATTTTTAAAAAAATTATAATATAAATAAATTTGCACCTTTCATCTCAAAGGGAATGAAATGAGCTCTCAGAAAAACAATTTTGTCAGGAATTGAAACATTATACTTCGGGCTGCTAAGACTAATTTATTTCTTGTTTTACTGTTTGTGCTAACCCGTGCACAAGGAGGTCTGTGATTATCTCCAGAGCTTCTGCTTAAACTGAATAGTAAAAACCAGAAATCAAATCTATGATATTTTTGTTTCTATTGCTCAACTCCGAATAGTCCAAGTTACCAGGGGAGAAAAGCTCACAATTTCAGGAGAAGAAAATAACTTAGAGATGCTACAGATTTGACGTTCTCCTGTAAACCAATTTAATCATTACCAGATATAGTTGACCATGTGTAAAAATTGATCTTGGAATCTTGGCCAAAAATTATTTATCTTTTCATGTACCATGGCTGTTAACTCCTGACATTTTGTCTAAAAGGCTAACTTAATTTTGATGTGGAGGTGCTGGTGTTGGACTGGGGTGGACAAAGTCAGAAGTGTCATGACACCAGGTTATAGTCCAACAGGATTATTTGAAATCGCAAGCCTTCAGAATGCAGTTCCTTCGTCACGTGAAGTCACTTGCGTTTTCAAATAAACCTGTTGGATTGTAACCTGGTGTTGTATGACTTCTGACTTTAATTTTGATGTACCTCATACTGGTTTTGGGGTGTGGGGTTGGTAGGAACACCCTAGTGAATGTTTTCATAGTTTTTTTTGCTTATTTAAACTGTCAAAAATAAATACAACAGTTTCTTGGTAAATTCAGGACCATGGCCAGCAACCACAGCTTTATTCCACTGACCGCCCTTCTTAAAAACTGGAATAAATTTCAACCCCTTGAACATACTACCCAAGTATTTATCCACCATCTACTTTCCCCCCTTAAAACTCAGCTGGAAAATATTTGATTTTTACAGGAGCATTTGTGGTATGTAATATAGACAAATTTTGTAAAGCATCTGAATCCGACAAAAGCACCTGCAAAATCCTTCTGCAGTTTAGAGAAGGAAATCTTGTGTTGCCCAAAACTTCTGAATATTTGTTGACTCATTTTGTTTCCCGTTTTTTCATGACCATTCCCACATCCAATGTGTTCATCTCCAGTTTCTGCTTTAAAATTAACTCTCTCATTTCTTTTAGACCAAAAACCAGCCTCACCGTCAAGGTGAGTACAATGTTTACAGCACCTTCCAGAGTCATGAGCCTGAGTTCGATTACCTAAAAAGCCTGGAAATTGAAGAAAAGATTAATAAGATCCGGTGGCTGCCTCAACAGAATGCAGCCCACTTCCTCCTCTCTACCAATGGTGAGTGAATGTAAACTCTTTTTTTTTTCCCCCAACACTTCTCACTTTCAAATGTCTCTTGAAAACTTATCTCTGGCTATATTTCAGTTCTAACCCTCCTACCTGCAACCTCCACACCACTGCCAGTTCAGAGATTGCTACAGTTATCCCTCTCCCTTTGTGATGTACCTTTAGACATTTGCATGGGAACACTGCTGTCTTAATGCAATTTATAAATGTACAAATGATTCGGCAAGGGCAAGAGCACCGGCAATTGAATATTACGTTTGATAGTGGTGCAAAATAACTAAAGTTAAGCATTTTTGGGTTTTTCTTTTTGAAAAAGTTGTATGCAATATGGCTACTGTTATGAAAATAGTAAGTACTGAACAAACTCAGTCAATCTGGCTCTGGAGAGAGAAGAACCAAGGTAATGTTTCAAGTGAAATGTAACTGATCTTCAGAACTGAAGAGGGCTGAGAAGTTTATATTATTTACACTGTTGATAAAGAGGGAGGAGGAGCAAGTGGAACAAATGGTGCAAATACACAGATCAAAAGACACAGGAAATGCAAATGGTTTATGGGGAACGATGTAGAGTCAGAATAGGTGCTAATGTTAGATGTGAATAATAGAAAATAGGTCAACTCTGCTGAGAGTATGCCCATGCATAGAAGAAGTACGGGAGGACAGAGGTGTATTTAAAAAGGCCATTAGGCCTATATTGTGTTGAAGTGTTGACATTTTCAGTGTGGACTGTAAAGCAGTTAGAGATTTAACTTATATTTATTCATATGAAGGATTCTTTGAGCACCCTGAAGCAATGTTTTACAAAAACACCGCATCCCAGAATTTTTGTTTACAACAAATATGGGGTTCAGGATTGTAGGATGCGTCTGAAGGAGAAACGTCCACATGTAACCTTTCGTAATATGCTGATTAAGAGTCCTGATTAAGTTTTCTTTTCTGAAGTGTTACGAAGAATTCAGGTTTTCTCTGTTCAGTGGTATCCATCTGTCCTATGAGCACCCTGGGCAACATTATGTCATGGAAGCTGACTTGCACCCATCATTAAAATAAAACAAATAAAACTGCAGATGTTGGAGACCTGAAACTAACAGAAACAGAAATTGCTGTAGAAACTCAGTGTGTCTGTGGAGAGAAGTAGAGTTAACATTTTGGGTCTAGTGATCCTTCTTCAGAACTGATAGCTGCTAGGAGTAGGTAGTTCTTGTGCTGGTGACAGGGAATAAGGAGTGAGCAGATTGGTGGAGGTGGAGTCCAGAAAGTGAGAATTAAAGAGTAGACAAACAAGGGATTGTTGATGCTAAGCCATTGAAGAGGAGAAGCTAAATAGGTGATAATGAGGGTGGTAATTACTTGAAAATGGGCTAGCTGTGCTGAAAGTAACCCATGTCAGGACAAGACCTGGCGTGTGGTTAATAGACATGGAAGGTGGTGTTCATGTTCTAAAATTGAGCAGCACCTCACGCAATCCAATCTATTGTAATCACTGCTCACAATGTGATCTCTTATATTGGGGAAATGAAATGCAGACTGGGTCACCGCTTTATGAACACCTATGTTCTATCTGTAAAAATGATCCCAAGCTTCCAGTTACCTGCCACTTCTGTCTCAGGCTTGCTGCAGTGCTCCAGCAATGCTCAAAACAAACTGGAGGAATAACACCCCATCTTCTGCTTTCTGCCAGACAGCCAATCTTCTATCCATGCTAGTATCTTGCCTCTAACACCATGGGCCCTTATCTTACCCAGCAGCCTCCAATGTTGTACCTTGCCAAAGGCCTTCTGGAAGTCCAAGTAGATAAACATTCATGGGCTCTCCTTTGTCTAACCTGCTCGTTACCTCCTCAAAGAATTCCGACAAATTTGTCAAGTATGACCTGCCCTTGATGAAACCATGCTGACTTTGCCCTATTTACCATGCACTTCCAAGTATTCTGAAAGCTCATCCTTCACAATGGACTCCAAAATCTTATGTTCGATCGAGGTCAGGCTAATCAGCCTGTAATTTCCTTTTGTTTTGCCTCACTCCCTTCTTAAACAGGGGTTTACATTAGCGATTTTTCCAGTACTCTGGGACCCTCCCTGACTCCAGTGATTCTTGCAAGTTCATCACTAATGCCTCCACTACCCCTTCCGCTATCTCCTTGAGAACTCTGGGGTGTCATCCATCTAGTCCAGGTAATTTATCCACTATCAGACCTTGCAGTTTTTCTAGCACCTTCTCTATGATGGCCATCATACTTACCTCTGCTCCCCGATTCTCTTGAATTTTTTCGATGTTACTCGTGTCTTCCATTGTGAAGACTGACACAAAGTACTTGTTCAGTTCCCCAGTGTCATTTTCCAGCAGCCCAATGTCCAATTTTGCTGCTCTTTTGCCCTTTACATATCCAAAGAAACTCTTGCAATCTTCGTTTATATTACTGGGTAGCTTACCCTCCTATTTAATCTTCTCCCTCCTGATTTATTTTTTCACTGTCCTCTGTTGGTCTTTGTTAGGCTTCCCAATCCTCTGGCTTCCCATTACCCTTCACCGCATTGTATGCTTTCTCTTTTGCTTTTATGCTGTCTCTGACTTGTGTAGTCAGCCGTGGTTGCCTCATCCTCTCTTTAGTATGCTTCTTTTTCCTAGGGATGAATTTCTGCTCATTCTCCCAAGTTACTCCCAGAAATTCTTGCCATTGCTGTTCCACTGTCTTTCCGGCTCGGCTCCTCTCCCAGTCAATTCTGGTCACCTCTTCCCTCATGCCTCTGTAGTTGCCTTTATTCAACTGTAATGCTGTCACATCTGATTCCACCTTCTCCCTCTCAAATTGAAGAGTAAATTCTATCATGTCATGGTCACTGCCTCTTAAGGGTTCCTAACCTTAAGGCCTTATCAAGTCTGCCTCATTGTATATCACTAAAACCAGAATTGCTTGTTCCCTAGTGGGCTCCACCACAAGCTGCTCCAAAAACCCATCTCATAGATATTCCACCAATTGGTTTTCTTGCAATCCACTACCAACTTGACTTTTCCTGTCCACCTGTATATTGAAATCCCCCATGATCACAATAACCTTGCTTTTCCCACGCACTCTATCTCCTGGTGTATCTTGTGCTCCACATCCTGACTACTGTTTGGAGGCCTGTGCATAACTCCAATATATCTTTTTTAAACCTATGTGGTTCCTTAATTGTACCGACACAGATTCTACATCATCTGACCCTACTCCGTTTCTTGCCATTGATTTTAATTTTGTTTCTTGCTATTAAGGTAATCTACTGCCTCTGTCCAGCTGCCTGTCTTTTCAATATGATGTATATCCTTGGATATTTAGCTCCCAGTCCTGATCCCCTTGTAGCCACAGACCCACCACACCATATCTGCCAACTTTGATCCGCGCCACAAGCTCACTTACCTTATTTTGTATACTGCATGCATTCAGATACAACGCCTTCAGACCTGCATTTACTGTCCCTGTTCTCATTGTCATCCCTTCATCCGGTGTGCTTGAAGTTTGATTTCTAACCCTATCCAAACCCTCTGTCATATTCTGTGTTCTGGAGTCTTTAATAACCTTTACAAAGTTCTCCTTCCTGTTCATTTTTTTCATACATTTCTATTTAGTTAAATCCACTCCACAGATTTTAACCTGTTGTTTGTTCTTTTTTTAACCAGCTCATTTTTAATTTCTCATAACCTCCATTATTATCTAGCTAGCTTCTCTCTTTCCCTGGCTTACTATCAATAATCCCTTTAATTTACTACCTTTTTATCCTGTCTCTGTGTCTCTCTCTGGGCTCTGTCTCCATCTATCTGCTCACTCTTTCTTTCCTCCTCCCATCCTGTGCCGCACCTCCCCACCACCACCCTCCCCCCCCCCCCACCAACGACCATCAGCATAAATGCCGCCTTTTTTTCTAGCTACAATCAGTTCCAAAGAAGGAAAACTGGACTCGAAACATTAACTTTTCTTTCTGCGCATGGATACTGCCAGTCTTGCGGAGTTTCACCGGTAATTTCTGTTTTTTGTGTTGGACCAAGCATTATTTGTATGATGAGATGATTTACGAGATTCTTGTGAATCAACCTAAATAACCATGCCCTGGAGCAATATTTTAGGAGGACCCTGTCAGAACCAACTATGTAAAAACTGCAGCTGTCCAACAACTGGACGTATTTGGAATCGACCATGTGTCGGTTTTTTTTTTAGGAACTTACCTGGCTATCTCAGCTGGGCTACATGGTGTCGGGCTTGTTATCTGCTTCACTACTAACATGTTGGTCTGTTCCTGCAATGTGACACCACCCAACTGGTCTGGCCTGAACAATCCACTGTCCAAATTGCCCCAGCCAAACTCCCCCAAAATCCAGGACACGCTCAGTCCCAAGAGTATAACGTACTTCTTTAACCTATCTGAAGTCAGACCAAATTAACATGAGATGAGCCAAAAGTCTCTTTAATTCTTAGCCTGCTTTGTACAATCGTGAAAGTGTTTAGCAAAAGATATATTTGGACAGTTTAACAATAAAGCTCTTGTAAAAATAATGGCAGTACTAAGTTGCCTTGCTGTAGGGAAACATTTAACTTGACTCAAACATGCATTCTTTCCTACAACCCAGATTGGCAAGTTCTCTACTTGCAGATTTCTGACGGTGGGAGTCTTTGGCTGACTGCCTGAGCTTCCTTCCAAAAACCAGATGGCCTTTCTGCTATCTGGCTCCTCTTGACCCTTACTTTTCCAATCAAAGGATTTTTCAACACAACAGTTAAGGTGTCTTTTCAATTAACCATCAAGTTCACAACTTGCTCATAGTTTTGTCTCTGGGGAGAAACAACTCGTACCTTTCATCTGAATGTTCCTTTTCTTCAATTAAGGGTTGGTTGGGTTTTGAAAATGTGGTCTTGAAACTATTTTTATTTCCAAATATTTAGAAAATTAGCCTAAAAAGTGAAACACAGATCTGGAGTTAAGAATCTAGTGGTGGTTTGCAGTAGTGACACACAAGACAATGTTTAACAGGCACACATTATTATCAACTGGTGATTGTCCATCTATTGTTTCGTCCTATTAAAGATTGAGATACTTAACATCAAAGTTACATTCACATTAAAGTGTGAGGAAAACTGAGTTTAACTTCCTTTAGAATGGCTTTATAAAATGGTTTTCATTGACCATTTTCCCGAATCAAGTAACATTTGTATGAACATTTTTCTAATGAAAAAACAAATTAGTTTTGAGGAAGTACAATGATGCTTGCAACCTAAAAAGGAAAAGAGGTGTGTTTCTCCATGGCAGGTAGGGTAATAGCATTTGATTGATCAATATACAAATGCTGAGTGGAATTCTATTTGAGCAAGTGAACACTAAAATGTTCCTCATTCTCACAACAGAATAGAATATCTTTCACTGTCATATGTACTCAAGTACAAGAGTGAAGTGAAAAGTTTACAACGTCACCTTTTAGGGAGCCATCTTAGGTACAAAGTACCTAGTTACTAACAGTCAGTTTAATTTCATTTTGTCTGGTTTATTTTGCCATGATGCATTCCCATTTTGTCACATCCTCCTTCTGTGATGGAATTAGAATTTAACCAGAGCCACTACCTGATGATAACACCAGATGGATTACTTGGGTCTGTTTGGATCTTAAATCTGCCCAATAGCCAAAATTAATTCTAGCTGGATTCTATTTTAAAACTATATCTCTTTCCACAGTTTTTTTTTAAAAACAGAAGATTGGCCTGTGTTCTTATTTAGCAAATAAACAGTAAAATCACAACAAAATAAAAATAGAGGTTTTCACATGTCCTTCCATTCTGAGACAGTTATTGCTATTCTAATGAAGTGTAAATTAACCCAAGGTTTGTGTTCATTATTTGTAAACGTGTAAATTGTCCTAAAATGTCCTTTTAACCAGTATTCTATTTATTCTACTTACTCTTGATTTTAGCAAGTAGAATTTAGGTGTTTCAAAATATTCACTATGAGCATAGACCAGACATTTTATATGGCTTCATAAGGCTAGTTCATAAATTAGTTTTGTTCAAATTACCATAATGTAATGAACAATCTCTCTTTCAGAGTCCAGTAACTACCTCATGGAAGAAAGACTTCTATTTCTATTCTGTTTTTCACAATCGTTTGGAGTCTTAAAGCACTTCAGAATTAATGAAGTACTTTATGGAGTGTAGTCAGTGATGTAATGTAGGAACAAGAGATTGAGGTTTGAAATGAAAATTGAACTGGAACCAGAGGGTGTAATTTAATACTCTGCCCTTTGGCTGGATTGGTGGCAGGGAGCATGTAACAGGGCAGAAGGATAGCAGTTGGGGGTTTTATTTTTTTTCTTTATTCATTGACAGGATTAGGGCGTCGCTGGTTAGGCAGCATTTATTGCCCAATCCTAATTGCCTAGAGGACAGTTAAGAGTCAACCACATTGCTGTGGGTCTGGAGTCATATGTAGGCCAGACCAGGTAAGGATGGCAGTGCCATGAAATTGCCACCTCCATGAAATTTGCACCTCTGAAATTGCCACTGCCACCCTGATTATGTAGCAAGAAGGTTTATGGATCACACTGCCCCATTCCCCCATAGTACACTGAGACGTGTGAAATAACTCAATGGCAGGTGAGCTATTTCTCACTTTGTGTTACGTATGACATAGGTGGGGTTGTTTGGAGTTGAAATCTCTCATTCAGAGGCAGTCAGTGCTTGAGAGCCTGCTGAGAATGATTAAACATTTTTTTTGCATGTTTAGTAGATATATTAAGGTGGGCCATTATTGCAATTTGTATATAAAGTTAATTATGAAATCTCAGTAGTTATTCTTCAATTACTTTTGCATTCACAAAGCAATTGTGCCCAAGGAGGGAGTATAAATGTCATGAAACATGACAGACAAGCAGTTTACACCCTTGAATAGTCTCACCTGCAAGATTTGTATTAAAAAGAACATAATTTGTTTTTACCACGAAGGTTAAATAACAATGTTAAAAATCATTATTTCAAACAAGATGCAATATCCTGCAAACGTAATCAAAATTTTTTTTTTCTTCCGACAGGACAAACTGTTTATATTTTTCACTCGTTCATCCTTCCTGGAATTAGCAGAATGTAGAGATGTCTTACGTGGTATAAGATACAGATAACCTCACTTAGAACAATAATTAGCAGTGTCCCTAGCCAGTTTTGAGTTGACGACTGTAGTGGATGCAGGCATCACTGTTAATTTAGATGTGGTCTGCTGAAGTTTAGAATTTAAAACTTTGTAACAGCAAGAAAAGAACTGGTCACAACTGAAGTTACTTGTGCAGCATATTTAACTGGGCTTTTGAGGAAATGTTATTGACCATTTTGAAACATTTAAAGGGCATTTTAACCTGATGGTAGCCTCAGAAGTAGAAAGAGTGATTGTCAATACAACTAATGAATGAAAATCTAATATGGCAGAGGACGGGGAGAGTTAGCTCCTCGTCCATCTGTTTAATGGGTGATACATCGGAAAAGTCATTCCATGACACCTATGCTATTACAGGGGCAGCATCTTATGAAATCAGCGCTGTAGAATGCTTGGAATGTCAAACAATTGAGTTAAAAGCTGCAGCTGATGAATGCAATTTGTACTGATTCACTGTAATTGTGCCACAGACAGCTGCAGTTAATCCTGTTTCAGGCCCTCACGCTGACACAGAACCTGGAAAGCTACCTTTCACTGGACCACTGTATCAAGGATCGAGCTTCTTGAAGTGTAGCTTGCTCAGCCTTCTGAGTGCTGCCTCCCATACATTGGCACCTCAATATGGCACTGGGTGCCTCTGATTAAATTCTGCACAGTACGTGAAGATAGTTTATGGTTGCAGCAGTGGGCCTGTCCATTGACTCCACCACAGCTGCTCCCAGTTGTGTTCCCTACCCCCTTACCCCAGGTCTCCCCTCCACCTTGGAACTCGAACACCATCCACTCAGGCCCTTACCTGATCAGCTTTTGGCAGCTTCTTCATCCTCCAGGGTGGGGATATCCCTTCTCCAAGAACTGCTGGTCAACCAGTGGCCTGCAGGCCACCAGTAACAGCAGTGCCACTTGGAGCACTGGTCACTGCTGGTACTGCAGTTGGCCACAGGCTGCAGGATTGCTGCTGGATCCCGGAGTGAGGCGGGATTGCCATGGCCTATTGGCGAGGTTGGATGGGGGTGGAGAGAAGGAGGTGGTGCGGGGTCCTCACCTTTGGGCGATACGTGCCTTGGACAGATCTCACTGTCGAGTATGCCCTGTGTAGGAATGACAGTCCTCTGTGATCAATCCAATGACAAAAACATGGATTGCAAGTGTTTTTTTTTTAAAAGAAAAAATTACTTCCCAGCAGTTTTATAGCACATAAAAGTTGCTTCTGTCCAGAGCAGCTGCATAAGCAGAAAATTTATTTAAACTCTTAATCTTTGTCTGAAGCAGAAAGCAGTGATTGAAACTTTGCATCAGTGGACTTGATGGTTAGGATCCTGAGGTGCAATGTGGCATATATCACAAGACCAAAAGAAGACATAATTGTAGACATTAACAGATCGATATGAGGGTACACTGAATCTTTTACAGAATCTTTTACAAGATTTACAACTCCCAACAGTTTAGGGGAGGGAGAGAGAGGGGGAAATTCATGCAGAAATATTTGCATGCATACAAGACTTATTCTACCTCTCTCTCACATTATCACCCCTGCTCTGTGGTGCGCTCGCTGTCTCTTGCTTTCTCATTCAGCCTCTGTTTCATTGTTGCTTTCTTGCTCTCTCACTCAGCCACCTCCAGAGGTTCCAGAACAGTGTCAAAACGTGCCATTAACAGCCTTGTATGTATGCAAATATTTCTGCTCAATTGGCCATCTACTGCTTACAATTATGCAGCCAGCTCAACACCACCCACCCCCACAACCACCGTACAAATGGGTTGGAGACAGGCAAACTGTATACCATTCGTGGTTGAAACTACTTGCCCTTTTCTCCTCCGTTCCAACCTTTGGCCGACTTCCAAACCTTGTGTTTATTTCGATCTCTGATTTGCTCAGTAGGACTGATAAACATCAGTTTAGATGGTTTGTTTGATCTACACCTTTTAAATAGTATCATGTAGTTGTGTAAAGAAACAATATTACATTTATATTTTCAACTTTCACCATTAAATGATTTATCGCTTAAAGTTGACATTATCTCTTGTTATTTTGATTTTCTTAGATAAAACAATTAAATTATGGAAGGTCAGTGAAAGGGATAAGAGGCCAGAAGGTTATAACCTCAAAGATGAAGAAGGTAGAATGAAGGATCTGTCCACAGTTACAGTGCTGCAGGTGAGTGGGGACTTTCCAAAATGAATTTGGGCAGACAAACAAGTGGGTGCCATGATGACGTACACCTTGCTTAGGTGAAGATTTAAAAACCTGGTGGAGACCAGTTGGAAATGAGTGTTCAATTGTCTGCAAACCATATTGGAAATCCTAACCAAACACTGCAGTGTGCCTCTTGCATATTCTTCGCATTGAATGATGAAAACAAGCTGCAAAATAGAATTCAAGTTCCATCATGTTGGCTTGTTGTAGAGACTTGCTTCTATGAAAATGTGTTGCGAATGTTCAGAAAACAGTTTATTATAGATTTCGGTGAGGGGGAAGAAAACGCAAAACTGATATCACAGTATAAGCATATAAAAACGTCGTACATCTTTTTAAATTGCTGATTTTGTACAATGTGGTGTTATAAAGTTTCAGGTTTTGAGTAAATGCTTTGTTAAAATTGCCTTGTTACGGTTTTTCAACCTGCTTTCCCTGTTTTGTGATCAGCATTAACTGTTCCATAAACAGTCCTCATGTGCCCTATGATCTGAAGATTGTTTGGTGTTTGATATCAATACCATGGCTTAGAAACAATACTAATATTACCCAATAATAATCAACCTTTCTGTCCATTATTGAAGACTGTTGCCATGTACATTTCTTCTATTTTTCAGACTCGCTTTCTTTTTGGATGACCATGACATTAAGCCATTTGCTTTGTTCTGGCTTATTTTGCAAGAGAGGAACACTCATGCGGTTCTCACGACGAAAATTCAATCAATAGTGTTATTATTCCGTGTATCATAGAAAATACCAAATCATGCAAATTGTTTTATTTTCATCTAAAATGTCAGCAACTTTGAACCAACTGATGATCATTTCTAAGCCTTGAGATCTTGCTATCACTCTGGACTGTTCCAAAGACATGGCTGCTGCTGAGGGAGAGTGAAACAGAGGCTGCCATATACAGATATGAATGACAACCTCTGAGGCCTCTGTGGCTCTCTGGCGAGGTGTTGCTCACTGTGCTGTCATTCAGTCTTCTAACCTTGAAAGTGCATCTTCCTTTCCATTGTGTCGCAGCTGAGGCAGCCACGTTGTATTGCTGGACATTTCTGAATGAAAACTACTTCAGTATTATTGATGCAAAGGCCTCCTGTTGCCTGAGAAGCAATATGGCTTGCAAAAGTATCCAATTCTGTAATCGCTGTAATAATAACCGATTTGCCTTTTTAAAAAAAAGTCTGAAGTTCTTCACTTTCTGGGAGTTAACTCCAAGTGAACTTCGAATGAATTTCACATAAATTAAGCCAAATTCCTTTCAGTGACATTTGATGTTTTTAAACATTGAAATGTTACCAGCAGTTTTTCTTTGAGTGAACAGTTTGTAGCAAAAGGAGAACAGAATGGATTCCAGTGATGATAGTAGGTTTTTGTGTGAATGTGAATGATAGGCACATTTTCAAGAAACATAGAAATCCTGTTTGAATAGAACTTAGTACGGATGTCAAGCAGCTTGAAATAAACTATCTCTCTCCTGGAAGTTAGTTTTACAGAAATGCTATTTCTCCTCTTCTTTTATTAGCGCCTTGGCCAAAGATCAGTGCATCATGAAGTTGTTGGCTCCTTCATTCATTGGTGTTTAGAAGAATGAGAGATGATCTTATTGAAACATATAGGTTTCTGAGATGCCTAGACAGGTTGTTACTAAGATGCTGAGTAACTCTGTTACTTATAGAAACAGAAATTGCTGGAAGAGCTCAGCAGGTCTGGTAGCACCTGTGAAAGTTAGCATTTCAGGCCAATTGACCCTGCCTCAGAACTTGTTACTTGTAGGCACAGTTTAAAAATAAGGCATCTCTTTCTGTCAGTGAGAGAAATTTCCTCTTTTAGAGAGTTGTTAGTCTTTGGAATTCTTAGGAACACCAGAGAGCAGTGCAGTTTGGTATACCCAAGGTTGAGTTGAGCAGATTTCTATTGACGAAGGAGTTGGCAGTTATAAGGGACAGGCAGCAAAGTGGAGTTCAGGCCACAGTCAGATCAACTATGATTGTATTAAGTGGCAGAGCAGGGTCATTGGGCGAAATGGCCTACTCCTCCTATCTCTCAATCTTATGATGTAATTGTTTTGTGTCTTGGTTTAAAAAAAAAATTGACTGTTGACTCAGGGAGGCAAAAACTACCTTGCTTTAAAATTAAATCTAATTTTAGGTGTTTAAGGAATGAGGACAATATTTTTTAAAACTGTACATGTTGACAGTAGTAGTTAAGATTTTTGGAATACTAGAAAAGAAAAGATTATGTAATTCTGTGCTTTGTTTTGTACATTTCTCGATTCTGTTTTACTCTGGTTTGATGGATGATCTGGCTTGAATTGATCTGTGACAAAAGAATCATTTAATTACAGCAAGAGGTTAAAATAATTTTAGCTGTTTTTTAAAATGCCAGGGTTTAAAGATTATAAATCCTTTTAGGTGAACAGAAATATTAAGGAGACAAGCATTTGTGCTTAAGTTTGTTGTTGGCATGCATCTTCATTAATGAAGGCTGAGCAATTTCCACATCACACCAGTTGTACTATAGGTTATTAGCATCTGAATGAGTAATAGGTTAGTGTTTTAGGTGAAGGTTCTTTTTAATGACTCCACTTTTTGAATGATGTTGATGATCTTGCTGTGGCGTTTAGAACAGTAAGAGCCGAATTTTCATGGAGAGGTGGGATTCAGTCTCAAACACACTTCATATTAAAAGAAAGTGTCATTTGTGCAACATTTTTTTTTAAACAAAGGGAACTAAATCCCTTCAAGTGGCCAGTTGGCTATAAATATAAAAACCCATTGCACTAGCCATATTAAAGTGAGAGAGTTCTCTAATAACCTTGTAAAATTGTTGATGAATATTTGAGGACAGATGAATATTTGCTGAGGCAAGGTTGATGGATCTTTTTGAAACACAGTTAAACATTCACAATGGGTTCAGCTATAATAAAAATGTATCTGAAAAATGGGGAAAAAAGAGTCTATCGAAACCAAAGAAATAGTTAGCCTTTGTTTTCTCAGCTGCATCACACATACTGTCAATGGAAGCAGTCCAGGAGCAGACTTCTTCCTCTAAGTGAAAGCTGCTAAAGGTTTTTTTTTGTTTTCTACACATATTAAAAGCGCTCTACGTGCTTAATTCACTTCAAATTATTATGCTAATATCCCAAGCAGTGTTTTCTTTAGATGTTAATGCTTCTGATGCAGCATTTCTGTTTGAATGACCACACCTCGATCGTTCCAATTCACTTGCACCTTGACAACCTCAAAAGGGCAAAATATGACCTCTCCTTGGATTTCTGATTCCTACACAACCCACCAACACCAACTTCCCCATCTGGCATCCAAACTTTATCAAATTCCCCTTTGGACCATGGCATTAGAATCCCAGACCTTCTACATTCTCCTTTGCGCCTCTCTCCGTTGGATCCATTGATTTAGCTATTTGTTACATCACACATCATATATAGTCTATGTTTAAAATAACCTTGTGCATACCAAGTGCCAGTTAATGTAGTTAGAATTATTGTTTTACTGCAGAACAGCATTTAAAGCCTTCTGGCTAACTTGTTTTTGTTTGCCGTGGCACAGAGGCAGATGCAAACTGTTATAACTGTTGGCCGGTGGTGGATTTGAGCGCTCATTCTTGATAGCTGTCGAAAAACCAGGACAGCTTGGAGAAACTGGTGCTCATTGTGTCTGTGTTGTGGAACACTGGTAATTAGGACACAGTTGCTTCCCTATTAATGAAGATGATTCAAAGCTGAAGTAATCCAAAAGAAGCTTGCAGCTGAATGCTGTAGATATCAAAAACTGAGAGGAGAGTCAGTTAGCTCAGTTGGCTAGAAAGCTGTTTCCCAATGCCAGCAGTATGAGTTCATTTCCTGTACTGGCTGGGATTACCAGAAAGGACTCTCCTCTTCAAGCTCTCCCCTCACCCTGAGGCGTGACCCTCAGGTTCAACCACCATCATTCGTCTCTAATGAGAGAGCAGCCCTGTGATCCGCTAGGATTATGCAGACTTTACCTTTTACTGAAGAGGGAGTAGGCGATGTATGAAGCTTTGGGAATATTTTGTAAACTGTATTCTTAATTTCTAACATTTGTTAAGCATTAATATCTTTTTGTTTCTTTTATGATTCTCAGGATGAGCAAAACTCGTCAGATTTGTAACTTGGCATAAGTTAGAAGAGGCTGGCTCCACCAAATTAAGACCAAGTAGTATATTTCAGATGCCAATTCGTAGAATAATTTACAATTTGGCCAAAGCAGTAAAACCCAGAGGGATGCTTATGGATAGGAATAAGATTTGTTACCCCTCCTCTGTGGGCTTTCTTTGAGTTTAATTTTTGGAGGATCTTATCTCAGCATAACCTGATTATTGTGATTGTGCATAATTCTGCTGCTCTCTGCACAGCTTTTGGATAATGGTTTATAGCAAAAGCAGAACTTTTCAGCTTTTCTTTTAAACGCACTAATGTAAGTCTGAGCTAAAAACACAATATTTTGGAAGTTCAGAAGATCACAGCATCTGGAAGGGAAAGATAAGCTCATACTTTTGCAAGGAGAGCATTTGGTAGAGCTTGGACAGTTCAAATATTGAGTTCTCAAACATTGGCAGTGTGTCACATAAGGCTTCCTGACTAACATCCAGTTTTCTTTTAGGTAACAGTCTGGATTTTCTCAGCTGGAAGTTGAAAGCTTCCCAGAAAAGTTTTGGGAGATTTAACTGTCTCCATTGAAGTAAGGTTTAGTGATCAAAACAACAAATTTTACATCAGTAACTTGAATCTCCCACGCATTAGAAATTATCACCATCAGACTAATTAGGAAGGGAATATAATATAAGTGAACTGCTCTTTCAAGTTTGTATATTTAGGTGAATCAGACACTCTATTTTAGATTTAATATATAAATATAGGAAGCCACCATTGGTAAGCACACCTCCCTTAACCATTTTGGCTCATCCTATGCCATGTA